ATGCAGTTTGAACCAGAGTAGCAGCATGGAGGACGGATCGTCACCAACATAAATAAATAAGTGGTCCGAAAAAAGTTAATGACAAAAAAATACACATAGCCTAACCTTCCCCAGGCAGTGTGTTTGCACCGGGGACAGGAGACACCCCCTTGATGAGAAACTGTAAGAAATGATCGGAGAATCCCTCCGGAGTGTAGTCATGACGACTGGATCTGAATTATTTTGTTGTATTTGGTGGTTTGTGTTCCAGCTGTCGATCAGCAACTATATATCCATAATCCACCAGTTAAAGGAAATACAACTAATGTGTTGTGTTATATTAGCTGTACAATTTACCACATATGGTGTTCTTAGTTTCCATACCTCCTGTGTTTTACGAGCGACTTATCAAGTAGGCGGCGAACGGCATAAAACATGATTAAACATGATAGTATATAAAACCATGCTCGTATCTATACAACCTATAGAAATGCAAAACGGCGTCAGTTTAAAGTAATTCTGTCCTTCTGTTTACCGCATCATTTATGAGAATACATTTCTTAACAGGAGAACATCATCGAGGGGTGATCAATAACATTTCCGTATTTATTTATTTCTCCAAGTTATGTTTTTGTGTGCACTGAGGAGTCTCAAACAGGCGTTTGTTAAATCATTTTAAGATTGGCTTTAATCAATGTTTGAAAATGAATTCTTCATATATGATAAATGAGAGGTAACATTTTATTTATGGTATTATTTCCACATATTTCTCTCCATTCTTCCTTCTGCCAACGGTGTCGCAGCTTCTCGTCTCTCGCGTTTTTGTGCTTAGTGCGTACGCATGGGTCAGAGTTTGCGTGGAGGACCGCAAATTTTCCCGTCAAGTTAGTTTTTTATAAATCGCAAACAGTGCGTAGAAACTGGCGTACGCCATCTTACGCACCGTTTATAAATGAGGCCCCTGGTCAGTACCACTCATCCTTTGAGAACAGTTGTGTAATGTCTTCACCACATATTTACTCAGCTTATAAGGAAGAACCTTAAAATGAAGTGTTCTTGAACCATAAGGATATCTTACCTAGGTATGGAAAATATTCTCTATCATTGTATGTGTACATCAGATTATACTATACTACACTAAAAGTGTTGATTGTACCCTGACCAATGGCTGCTTGAGGCTGATACAGATACAAAAGTTGTTTCTTATTGGCGAAGATATACAAAGTTTTAATCCGGGCAAATCATTTATATGTATTGATTTAGCTCCCTCAAAAATAATATCCTCCCCTCTGTCACGAACCTTGGAGTGACCTTCAATAGCGCTTTTAAATTCGACAAGCAGGTCAGCAGCGTAGTCAAAACCTGCTTTTTTTAAATACGACTATTGGCCAAGACCAAGTCGTTTTTATCTTTTAAAGACCTGGAAAGGGTTATAAACGCCTTTGTAACCACAAGGTTGGACTACTCTGTATGTGGGTATGGACCAGGCGTCAATTAGACGCCTGCAGCTAGTGCAGAACGCAGCTGCACGTCTTCTCACTGGCCATAAAAAGCGTGACCACATCACCCCAATTCTGGCCTCACTGCACTGGCTTCCAGTTCAGTTCAGAATTGATTTTAAAATCCTTGTATTTGTTTTTAAAGCCCTAAATGGGCTGGCTCCGGCCTATATAGCTGAACTCCTCCATCGCTACACCCCAGCCAGAGCTTTAAGGTCTGCTGACCAGCTGCTGCTGATAGTGCCCAAGACCAGGCTTAAAACCCGAGGGCACCGAGCCTTCGCAGCAGCTGGCCCGAGGCTCTGGAACACTCTGCCCCTCCATGTGAGGTCGGCCCAGACCCTAGGGGTTTTTAAATCTACACTAAAAACACACTTCTTCTCCCTGGCCTTCTAGTTAGAGCGGAGCACGACTCCTGACTTTTCCCTGTGTTTTTTATATATCTGTTGTAATTTATTGTCTTTTATTGTGATTGTAGTAATGTGTTTTTATGTGATTGTAGTATTTATTACATGTACAGCACTTTGGCCCGACCAAAAATCGCTTTTAAATGTGCTTTATAAATAAACCTTGATTTGATTTGATTTGATTTGATTTGATATATACTTACATACTACATTTTTTGGGAAAACCAATAGAGAAACTGATCATGGATAATGATTTGTAAAATTATCCACATGGGACTAACCCATATTACCAACATTTAGCAATGCTCAAGCTTATTTGAATTTGAACGTTCTTTTTAATTGTTGTCTTATCATTTAGTAGCCTCTCTAAAGGCCCTGACACACCAAGCAGTCACCAGAGAACTCGCCGACGCCGACTGTTGCGTCGCCGTGTTCTCCTGCGTCTCGGCCATGTGTCTCACTGGAACACACCGCAAAGACTTCAGCCGAGCACGTACGAACTGCGCATGCGTGAGTGGCAATAACTCTCCTTACCAGCAGGCGGCGGTAGTGTGTATTCGTCATTCAAAAGAGGCAACAACCGGAAGACAGAGAAGAAGAACAGACTGCGTGATCTAAACAAACTGTCTCTACCCGATCTCCCGCCCTGCCCTATCTGCAGTGCGCATGTGCGAGATGGTCCGCCATATTGCACAACTCCGTACGGCAACCCAACTAGGACACTTGACACAGTGGCATTTGGCAAAGCACACAAAGAAAACTCCGAAAACCGAGAAAGATGAGTTATTGTTATTACAACGTGACTTCACTATTATTTAACAACTCTTTTTATTGGGTTCTTTTATTTGGGGCTAAGTACATTGTCAGAATAAGTGAGAAATGGATTTAACTTCTGTTAGACAGCTATCATACTGAATAAATATTTACTGTGAATGTATGCAAACATGTATGGCATATAGCTGTCTAACAGAAGTTAAATCCATTTCTCACTTATTCTGACAATGTATTTAACCCCAAATAAAAGAACCCAATAAAAAGAGTTGTTAAATAATAGTGAAGTCACGTTGTAATAACAATAACTCATCTCTCTCGGTTATTTTTCTGCTTTGCCAAAAGCCACTGTGTCAACTGTCCTATTAGAGTTGCCGTATGTAGTTGTCCAATATGGCGGACCATCTCGCACATGCGCAGTGCAGATCGGGCAGGGGGGCAGATTGGGTAGTGACACAAACAACAAATAGCGTGTGCGTTCCATTTTCACTCTCGTCCATCGAAAACATGTTTCGTGCCGTACTGGAGCTATCAGCCATTGGAGTGTTGCTTGTGGAAGACATTCTCAAGCAACCGTTTCGCTTCTCATGCACTGATTCGCTAGCTGAACAGCCAATCAGAGTGATTTCTTTGTCCGACTGCCTGTGGCTGACGCACGGCCGATTCAACATGTTGAATCGGCCGTGCGTCGGCCATGAAAGGCCAAATAAGGTGTGTCACGGCCGACGGTGCGGGACACACCAAATTGAGTTTGGGCGACAGGGCACGCTTCGTCATCCGACTAATGAAAACGGCCTATTTCGGCCTGGTGTGTCAGGGCCTTTACACAGAGATTCAGCAGTACTGCCATCCAGCATACAGCAGATCTGTCGAGAACACACTGTGCTAGAGACAAGGCTAGCTCAGTGCGGGGGGGGGGGGGGAGGAAGGAGGAGGAGGAGGAGGAAGGAGGAGGAGGAGGAGAGGGGAGGAGCAGCAGAAGAATGCTACAGAGAGGGATTGGAGGGAAGGAGTGTGCTGCTATAAATTGATCTAGTCGTGTGTCTTGCTCTCACAAGCAAACACACAGCTCTGTCAAGATTTTTGTTTGTCCCACAACGGGAATTTAAGTGCAACAGAAAAGTGCAGTGGTGCGAGGTGGTGTTGGAACCAAACTCCACATTACCCCTAACCGCTGCCGCTGCACCAGATTACAGGGGAATCATTGAGTCATTGTCTTGTGTTCCAGTGGTTTTAAAACTGTGGGTCAGGACCCAACACCCGGTGTCTATAACACTGGTCATAACAGGATAAAAATAAGTCCCCAGATTGTTCTGCAGAAACAGATGATGGCTTTTAACTGGAAAATCACAATTCCGCATGTAAGCCTCCGCACACTTTGGATTATATGGTATACTGTGTGTGGAGAAACTGTTGTGACTCTAGAAACCAGACAATAGAATGGTGCAGTGATGACGTTTTATTCTGAGCTGACATGGAAGTAAGCAAGGGCTCCCTCAACGAAAAGCCATGGGTTGTTTTTTTTGGATTTTGGATTATAGCAACAAAAAAAGAAGCTCTGTGGCACACAAATGTTCATGAAATGTACACGTTTTGTTCGGCAGCTTTTTTCTCCACGTTTTGACACCACATTAGCAACTAGTAAAAAGCTAACCTTGGGCTATCAAATAACTACATCACACTCGCATTGCTGCTTATCAACACCGCTAAGATAAAGTAGGCTAATGATGTTATGGCATGATAAAGTTTAGTCGTCTCAATTAGTCAATAGTTAGCAACTGACATTTTTAAGACGCATAAAACCTGTAGACGTTAACTATTAAAAGCTGTAGATGTTAACTGTTGGGTTCTTTACTGACGTATTTTATGTCGTAGAACAAAACGTCACAAATATATTCACATTGTGTTTACTCCAGACCTTATTTCAGGCATCTAACCTAAAACACATTCAGTTGACTTTGAGACGATGGAATCGGAAGTTGTAAAATGCTAACACACTTCTGGCAATATAGACAAACTGAAGCCTTTAAGCTGTACTTAAATGTTTATCCTACCGTGTGAAGATAAACCACCAATAAAACTTCTACTTTTAGTAAAAACAGACCTCTTATTCAAATCATCTCTTATTTCTTGTGGAAATGGAATGTCTCATCAAAGTGAGAACACTTTCCATTCAGGCAGGAATTTCAATGTGTTCAATGTGTTCAACATGTTGAGAACATTTCAGTAGTGCCTAGGTTTGCAACTATGCAAGATTTATTAGTGGATGGGTTACGGGGGTTATTTAACATGTGATTGTAACAGAAATAATATGCTTCATGTTGTTTGTTCTCTCTCCCTGCAGGCTTTTCTTTGGGACTCTGTATCCTGCGTACTACTCTTACAAAGCTGTCAAGACAAAAAATGTCAAGGAATATGTAAGTAAATAAAAATCACTGAGTGTGGATGGCCTGCTTGATGTTTGCATGTTTCTACAACGCACACTCACATAGACTTAATCACTAACCCCAACCTAAGATCAAATAGTCTTTTTTAACAAAATGCCTCGATACAAATATTGCAAAGATATTGCAGGGTTGACCATTGGTCATTTTCCTGTCTTTGATGTGGTAGATGACCCATCTCCTGTAATGAGTCTCTTGTAGCCAGTAATGGCGCGTTTCCACTACACGGCCTCGCTCGGCCCCGCTCGGTATGGCTGGGCCTCGTTAGGACTGGCTCACTTTATGGCGCATTTCCATTACAGTTTAGGAACTGGGGCAGTATCTATAGTAACGCAGTGTAGGCGGAGCCGTGACGTGATCTTCAGAGGACCCCAGAAAAACAACACAACCGTTAGCTGTTAGCACTCAGAGCTCACAGCTCCTCATATCTGTTCAGAAACTAGACAAAAGTTAAACAAGTACAAACCACAGACTGCCTGTGTCATGGTGAATACAGTCGCTGCTTTATTTATGTCTGTATAGGCTGTTGTTGTGAGTGTGGACGGTCGGAGCATATACTGCGTTAGCTTAGCCAATCTCCATTTAGAAAACACGCATTTTAAAAGGTGTTTCCCCTGCCGTCTGTCTGCAGACTTGACAAAGCATTAATTCATGGTTTTTACTAACCGGTATCAGTATGTTGTTACTTCGGCATCATTTTGAAACGTGTATTACAATTAAATCACGGTCAAATATGTCCATCTTGTTGTAGTTGTTGCCCCCTTGCCAGCGACGCTCTCTCTAGTTTAGCATACTCAGCCTCGTTGTCTCTGGCCCTGGACCCACGATTTTATGAGGCCAGAAAAACTGTGAATTAGGACCCGCCGGCCGGTACTAGGCCAAGTGGAAACGCAACCAAAGACGGGCCGCTGACGTCACAGCCCTCTTAAACCGGGCTGTAGTGGAAACGCGCCATAAGAGTCATGTGTTAATGTCCTGTGGTATAATGTGCAACAGTGTGCAATCTAAACAATCAAGTTATTGGCTTCAAGTGAAGAATTGACATCCCCTCCATCACTTGGTATAAATACTACAGAAGATACAGTTGGAGTTCATTCCAACCATTTAACATTTTTTTTTTTTTTTAGTTTCAATTAGACAAAAAACTAATGGTTAAGATTGAATAAGTGCAAATAAGTCAAAAACTGACAGGAAACTTCTTTAACTTATCCAAACCCACTCTCTATTTACTTATGAGACTGATTAAAAGAAATCTCTTTGAAGGATTTCATAATTGAATTGTTATCATAATACATTTCTAGGGGAAAATAAAACTGTTGATAGTTATGTAAATTAGATTCAATATAGATTTGGCTATTGTCTGATATAAAGTAATATGTTGATGTCAGTCACTTTGTAAAAGAGTTCTGTCCTTTTACAAAAATAAATATGTGAAAATGTAAATCAGATTATATTTATGAATTGATTATATGCTAAAATGTTTGTTTTTGAAAGAAATTATCTCATAACTGTACCTTCTCCATTTACATTTGATGGAAATATTGGAATTCTTAACTGAAATCTCTTGATTTGTATGATTGTCATTTTGTTGTAGAGATTCTTCTCTGTGTAAGGGTCACCTGATGACAGCATTCAGGTTGAGAAACCACGTACATGTGTTGTGTATAAGTCGTTTTTCCCAAAAACATTGAGTGTTGTGTCACAGCACCAATTCCATTTTAACTCAGCGGTTGATGGGCTCCCATACATGAATATGGATGTGAGGGCTGGGAGGGGTCTTCTCCGTGGACTCGGCTGATGTAAGTGATGTCAGTGAGAATGAAATCCCAGGCTGAGTTATAATACATCCTCGCACAGCTTTAACACACCAGCTCCCACAGCAAGCTTTTTGCAGCCTTTTCCTCTTTGTCTTTCTAATATAATACGGCTGAATTCAATATTAGAATATTGATATAACGTTTTTTTTATGTTAATTCAGTTGCCAGGTTATTAAGTCCATCTAGCGAGACCTTTTAACTGTGATATAAATGTGGCGAACTGAGATTATGTTCTGTCACTGCATTGATGCATTATCGTCCACGCCTGCATCGGGATGCATCTTAGAAACGATTATTTCAACACCCCTCAAAGCAATAGATTACTGCAGCGATGACAAGTTTTTGTATGTGGACCCGGAAGTTAGCATAGCAAGGGCTCCCTCAACTAAAAGCAATTGGATTTCGGAATAATCCAGAAAATATTAAAATATGAGTACTTTGTAAGCTTTTAATAACTTTTGAAAATCCAACTCATAAAAAAAAAAAAAAAACATTGACCTTGAGACCAACTAGCCAAGAAGTGCTAAAATGCTGACTCATTTCCAGGTGTAGGACTCATTCGTCTCAGCTGTACCCTCTACACACTGTACCCCCTTCAGTAATGTCAAGAGGAGTGACTGAAGGCTAGATCTCCCCACAGGATGAGCTAGGAGCAGCATCCACCACCGTTTGCACATTAGTCTCCAGCCTTCACCATTATCTAACCAAAAGAAATGCATGACATTGAATTAAGCTTTTAATAAAACACACCCTCCAGCACATTTGTGAAGGATTGCATGTATACGTTGATGAAACTGAGTTTATTACTTTAGCTCTTCCACAGCTGCAGCAGGCCTATGGCTGCTTTTATGTGACTGGAGCTACAGCACGCCCTGCCAAAGGTTACTCCAGTTCACGACAGAATTGGCTCTCAACATTCATTCCAAATGCCCATTCCTCTTTTTCATATCTTTAATTCTTTACTGCCTATTTCTGTGTGCCTACTGTATATGCATGCTGACAGTCATGTTTCCCGGTCAGTATTGTGTTAAACCCTCTCAACCTCTATTAAAAGTGAACAATTACTGCACGGTATGGAGGACTAGACACGCTCTCCATGCCATAAAAAAAGAAGAAATTAGATAAATCTTTCTAACTAAGGAACTTCCTAGGCGACTGGAATGAAATATTCAAAAAACTCGACAGCAGACTAGAAGAAGCTGCATCTAGGATAAGCAATACAGAGGACCGCAATGACTCACTGCTTTCTTACATTTTGTAAAGTAATCAGTATCTACAAGTGCCAAGATTTGGAATATGGAGATAGACGTAACATCTGAGAATGTATTTGTGGTTTTAAAAGTAAAACCAGTAAGAGAAACAATCTCTTCTTCCTCCTTCCATATATTAATTCCACGTTCCTCCACTCCACCTCATTAACAGTACCTGACAGCCTTTAGCTGTCCTACATCCTTCACTGCATCTCTGCTGCCCATCCTCTGTTGACTGGGGAATGATAAAGTGTTGAATGAGGGCAGTTAAAGCCTTTGACCCCAGGCTACAGTGTGCCGCTCCACTCTGTGTCAGACAAATGGGCTACTTTGCTGAGCAATCTGGATGCCAGACTGACATGAATAGACTTGTCTGGAGGTGTGTTTTCTCACTGCTTACATCTCATAAAGTGAGGACTGACTGCAGATACACTATACTTCTTGATTTGTGTTTAGACAAGCCCACTTTTCCCAAGGGCATTCTGCTTATAGACTTCCTTGGATAAAGTGTCAGCTTTAATGGCAACATGACTGAATAAAAACAATAGGATTATTCAGACTAATATGACAGAATATTTTTGTTCTGAAACAATATACTTTATATAAAAACCTATAAGTAAAACCAAACTTAAATGACCTCTTCCCCAAATGATACATACTCATAGACACTGAAGTGCTGTGCAAGTTCATTCATGTCCTATTAGAGTAGTTAGCCTGTCGGTACTAAATCAGTTCTGATGAAACTCGTAACTTCAGTAAAGATGCAATAAAAAAATTGAAGAAGATTAACTGACAATTATTGACCAAATGTTTGGATGCTGAGGCAATTAACACTAAATCGCAATCAAAATCGCAAATTTAAGTTGAACATTCTCATATTTTTGTCAAATGAAACCTGGTACTCATAAAAAGCAGAGTCTCAAATAATTGGCCAGTATAAGCAATAAACAGACTGCTTATTGTCTCTCCTAACACTGAGGAAATAATACAATGGAAATACTACATGTATAAGATAATCATAAAGGAAGTGTTGAGATGTTGTAAACAGTATTCCTCAGTATTCATTAACACCCAAGTTATTATGGGTTTGTTTGTGCATGGTGGATGGTTTAATACCAATTATACTTCCTGCCTGCTACATGGCTACATGTGTCTGCATGATGTAAATGTTGTCATCTGTCTGTGGCCACATAACAAACCAAACATGTGTTTATAAAGACGCCCAAATATATTATAAACGGAACCAAATGTTTCTGTTCATGTTCACATCCCTCATTTGCTTTAGGCAGACAATTAGAGCAACTTGCACTAGTTTCCTGCAGTAGGAATGAGTCCTTAACCTGAAATGAGTTAGCATTACACACTTCCGGGCTCCCTTGTCTTGAGGTCATTTGTTTTTTGAACGTGTTATTGGATAGATGCCTGAAATAAAGTCTCTGGATTCACATTTAGTCTACAAAACACAATATTTATAAAAATCCCATTGCTTTTAGTTGCTATTTTTTAATATTTTGTGAAACTTTATTGACCCAACTATTATATTCAAAGGATAACATATTCTAATGACTAATTGATAATGAATTACAGTACATATATTTGCAGCCATTTTTGCATTTAAAGTGACCCTGTGGTTACATTTGACTCATGAAGTTCACATACGTATGTAAATAAAAGATGAAGAGAGAGTTAGCTGAATGAAACTTGTCGGCTCCCAGGTTTAGCATAACCAATTGGCCCAGTGTCTGTAAAGAGCTGATGTCAGATGTCAGTAATTCACAGACAGGCGTAGTTAATGTCTGCTATTGCCTCCGGAAGGAAAAATGGCTGCTGTATATTTCACTGAGGTCACGTCTTTATGTCCTCCCTACTGATGAGATGAAGGAGAAGAACACGCTGTTAGAGACGGAGAGAAAAGGAAGAGGAAGAGGAAGATGAAAGGGAGAGGTGGAGGAGAGACAGAAGCAGGGGGAAGGAAGTGGATTGAAACGTATAAATTAGATGTCCTTTCTTACAACGCTCTGCGTGTCGCTCTCTATCCTCTTTACATTTATCATCAGCGTGTGTGTGTAGGGAGTTCACCATGAGGTCATCAATTAAGCAGTCCAGCAATAGTGTGAGTCATACTGCAGGCGTGTGTGTTAGGCATTCTGAGACTTTGTGGTTGTAAGAAAGGTGAATGTGAATTTTCTTTCTCTCCTGTTCTCCCTTTTTCAAACAATAACTTTACTCACTCACTCATCCAAACACACACACACACACTGTGACATTTCATTAGCTAGTGTCAGTGTGCGTTCAGTGGTGCAACCGCGGCAGGGTCCGGCTAACATCACAACCTGCCATGTGACTGTCTGCCCGCCTGCCACCCTCTACTGCTGCCTTTTGATATGGAGAGCCAGCCAGAAGAGCCTGGAGATGCCTTTTAAAGAGGAGGAGAGGGAGCGAGAGAGCAGGAAAGCAGAAAGAGAAATATATTCTAAACGTCTCTGTTACTACTATTGGCCTGAGAGGGAAAGAAGCAGGATTAAAGGAGAAAGAAAACAGAATATGGAAAAATATTGTGTTTTATCTCATTTCAATAGGCATTATTGACACAACATATGACATTTGTTGCAAAAGCACAATTACGATTATGAAAGGCAATGAGTGAAATTAATAAATTAATGAAATAGATATTGGAATAAGTATTATCACACCACATAATCATTTTACAGTCATTACAGTGGCGTGCATAGTTCACATTTAAAAAAAGAAAAATCATATATATACATATCATCTAAGTACTTTAGTAAGTGACAACATAATACGGAAAAGGCACGTTAACTTACATGATCTGCTTTTGTCGGTTACGACCGGTTGTTTCTGTGAACAGCAGAAATGATGCGGTCGCAAGGAATTGTGGGACAGCATTAATTCCTTTCATTACATTTAGGATGGTCCAGTGTATCCTAAAGCAGCGGTTTTCATAGTGTGACGCGCGCCTCCCCGGGGGGGCGCCAGAGAGCTTCAGGGGAGGCGGAGCGTGAGAAAAAAATAACGAGAAACCGTGAAATCTAGCTAGTAAGTTAACTTCAGCTAACTTTATGCGAGCAGCAACATGGATCGATTTTTAGTGAAGTTACCTAAAGTGAGAGAGGAGACAGCGTCTGGCAGAAAACGTCACTTGCACACTTTTGGCTGTCTGTGGAGACCGAGTTCCCCCACCTCTCCAAAAAGGATGTAAAGTGCTCATTCCCTTCACTTCCGCCTACCTGGGTGAGTGCGGGTTTTCCGCATTGACTTTGATCAAAAGTAAGTACCGGTCAAGCAGGGGCGGATCTACCGGGGTGGCATGGGGTGGCAACTGCCACCCTAAAAATAGCCTTGCCACCCCAGTTGGCAGCTTTGTTTTGAAATAAAAATGGTGGCTCATCGGACATTTATGAGAGAAAATCCCTAATGTCCGAGTGCAAGTGAATGCAGCACAAGACGCGAGCCTTGTAACCCCTCCCCCGGCCCTGGCGCGAGCGAGGAAATGTGATTGTCGGTGATTTCATTTGAACGGGACGGCGCAAAACGAGAAGCATTCGGACCCAAGTAGACGGAAGGAATGAGGTATTTGCGGTCTACAATGACAGAGAAGAGACTTTCAAGCGTGACTGTACTCTGCATTGAATCAAAACGCACTATAGCTTTAAATCTTAATAAGTCTGTGAGGCATTTTGCTGAACAAGATGGTAATCGCCACATTCAGCTGTTATAGGCATGTCAACTTGATGCTCTGCTCACGGATGACTCGATGAGCATAATAAACTGTTAAGATGATGACCTTACGTGTGTAAATATATATTTTTCTTTGTGGGGGTCTGCCCCCAAAAAACAGTTTTAAGTCTTGAGCAAGTCAAATAAGACGGTGTGTAAAACTACACTGCCCAAAAAAAAGTAACCACTTTGATTTAACTAGGCCAGTAGGTAAAGGCATTCCACTGGATAATAATACCCCTGCATTATAGCAACAACAACAACAATAATAATAATAATAATAATAGCAATAATAATAATAGCAATAATAACTGGGAGGGGGGGCGCGGCTGTTCTTATGTTCTCTGAGGGGAGGCTCACCTTCCCACACTTTGAAAACCCCTGTCCTAAAGGAAGCGACTAAGCTCCTTTCCTATCATTTAGAGAATCCAAACAGCTCTTATCATGGCTGACACTGAGTCACTTCCTAGTCTTTTCACATTGTTAGGAACCTTGATGAACAATAAACACCATTCGACCCCAACCACTGTGCCATTTAAAGCAGTTTTTCACTTTTCGCTGTGATGCTCAGTGTTTTTTCTGTTTGTGTGTCTGCGTAGGTGCGATGGATGATGTACTGGATTGTGTTTGCCCTCTACACTGTGGTCGAGGCCATCACTGACCTAACACTTGCATGGTGAGTACCACACAAATACACACATGTTTACCAACTACTAAAAAATAGTTACACAGCAATCTCTTTTTATCATTATCTAAAACTCATTGTCTCAATTGCCCTCTCATACTTTACTATATGTACACTGCACCTTCACTGACTGTACAATACTTTCACCAGTGATCATTAACCTGTTGAACCCCATCCCCCCGCCCCCGGGCGGAAAAACGCATCATCTGCAGGAAACAGCGTCTGAGGGCTTCTTAATATTTAATAAACTATGAATGTTTCATATCCATGTAACGGGAAGAAACTCAGCTAACTGATGATATGAACCATTTTTAGCAAAAATAAACACAAGGCTAACGCTGAGCCTCTGAATTAGTCCTGAGCGAAAAAATGCTAACGCCGTTAGCACAGAAAACACGATATAACACCCTTATTACTTATCGTAACTGCACATCCAACATATCGATTAGCATCGTGAGAGTACACAGAATCGATAGGTATCCAGTGTTTCCCCTAGGTTTACTGCTTTGGGAGGGTGCTGCTGTGGAATTGGGATATATATTTTTTAAATAGAGCAGAGAGAGGAGCTGTGGATTATTGTTATTGATTAATGCATCAGTGTTTCTTAGGGTCAAAAACACTAAACTCACAACTTAAAATGAAAGCGTTTAGTTTATTTAATAAAAGAGCACATGTTCAATGTGAAAAGCGACAGTAGATATAGATTAGTTGCAATTTGGTGCTATATATATATATATATATATATATATATATATATATATAAAAAAAAAGATTAATACAAAAAATTAATAAATTATAATTTTTTTTTTTTTTTTAAACACCTTGAATTTCAGGGGGGGGCGTGGGGCTCCGTTTGCGGGGCGCAGTGCCCCTCCAAGACAATGGTAGGGGAAACACTGGTATCTATAGCATCACTCCATGATCAGAACTCGCGACATAATAAACGAAAACAGACATCACAACACGTGGCATTAGGTAGCAACCACGGCAATATGTCTTACCTTTGTCGTTGTCTGATCAAAAGTTGTCTTCAATGGCATTAAAACGATAAAAACGCTGCTGAAGTTGATCCATAGGTTAATCCAATGTGTCTGTGTCACTTTGAAATGATTTCTGATAATCCATCAGCATTAAAACTAGTTTTCAGATTTCAGAGCGTAAGACAGCTTTCGTTTTGGGGAAACTGCTTGCGCATAGCCCCCACTTCTCAATCGTAACGTGGAAATTCCCCTTCGATTCTATTGGCTCTAACGGTTAAAAAGAGATGTCAATCATCAAAATCGACCAATGGGTTCCAGAGAAATGGCAAAAACGCCCATTTCCACCCAAATTACCCCAGAGGTGGAGTTTTTTTTGCTAAACCTCTCTAAAAAGGTCAAATGTCACTTGTTTTGCATCAATCTTGATACAGGTTACTTATTATATGTTGTACTTTGGATTCCTAAAGCTTTTAGTCTACCATCCCATCATTCAAGGGTGGTTTTCACTATAAGTAAAAAAATAATACGGACACTATAATTTACAGTTTTTTACTATGTTCAATCTGAATTTTCTTTTAAAATAAAAAACATCTATATTGATTCTGACTTTTCTACATCCAACTCACAGGTTTATCATTACTTTGAGAAAAAAGATTATGAATTTTCCCCTTTTAGAAGGGAAGATATGGTCATTTGTTCTGGGAATGTCATTTTCGAGCCTGAGACCTGAAAAACAGGCTCAGGGCTTAACAGGTTAAAGAACACTCAAAGATTTGAAAGGTGCCTTTCATCCCACCGGATGTGGGGAAGTGGAGAGGTTTTGAATGGACAATCTGAACTGAACTCAACAATACACGTCCCGATCGTCCATATGTGTTGGGGCTGATCCCTAACCTTGATATAGTGCCATGTAAAACATCATTTGAAGGTGAAAGAAACTTTTGTGAAAGAGCACCACCACCAATTTGGTAGGCTGAAGCACAGTCCAACTACTGTTTGCTCATTGTTATCCTTTCTTTTAGTTGTAAGAACACCACAGTGTGGGAGGATGATAGCCATGGCAATGTTGTGTGTGTGTGTGTGTGTGTCCAGGTTTCCTCTGTACTACGAGCTGAAGATAGCCTTTGTGATCTGGCTGCTGTCCCCTTACACCAGAGGAGCCAGTCTCATCTACAGGAAGTGTCTGCACCCCCTCCTGTCCTCCAGAGAGAGGGTAAGATGATCCATGTGTTTGTTGCTGAGAATATTACAGTCACACCTCGTTGTGCTTGATTAAGTGGTCTACTAGAAAACCTAATTGTCTTCCTGTAGGAAATCGATGAGTATATCGTGCAGGCCAAAGAGAGGAGTTATGAGACCATGGTCAACTTTGGGAAGCAAGGCCTGAGCATCGCAGCCACCGCCGCCGTGTCTGCAGCCGTCAAGGCAAGTGTCTCTTAATATCACATCATATTTGTTTAAAGGTGCTTTTTATAGCATTTAGGGGTTTATATTTTAGGGCTGAACAATTCATCTGAATTGTATCCAAATCGCAATGGTCTAGTAGTGCAATATCCATTTGGTAAAGGCAGATTATATGCAAATATTATTCTACATTAATTTTTCCCGGCCTACAAACATTTTTCACAGACGTAATAACAAAACGTAAAAAGTTTTGTACAGATCCATATTTCAATGATTATATGAAAAATATTTCAAACATTTTCATTCCCTTCAATATCATGAATCATATCATAAGTGCAATATCAAAAATAACCGCTATTAGTTAATTTTTTAGATCGTGCACTCTTAATTATTTGTATCATTGATTTTTGATTGAAAAGGCCTTTTTGTATTTACCAAGAAATCCCAATAATATGGCTGATGCAGTTTTTACCCCTTATCTCAATTTTGTGTTATTTATCAAATGAAGACGTTTCCCATGAATACTTTTCCCTCACCTCAGTCTTGCTTAGCTGAGGTTGTTAAACATGGAAGAAAGTATATGTTTTGGCTTCATTTGCCTAGATACAAGTGTGTTCTCAAACCTGTTTATGCAGGAAAGCAATCCAGCAGGTTGTTTGCCAAATTCAAACTGCACTTAAACGGCTTATTGAACCACATGTAAAAGAACACAGACAGACTGTAATTGGTGTGTAAATGAACACAGGAGAGCTGCATTAATATTTTAAAGATGGTATGTAAAACATTGAGCTCATGCATATGTATCCACTCTGAGTGTGTCTCTGAACCAGCTTGTTGTTCAGAAGCTACCACTCACTGCAGCCAGAATAAAAGAGGTGTGTGAAGTGGTTTCATCAGCACTGTGTGAAACCCTGGGTGTGTAGGATCATCCTAGTGATCTCCTGGTTTAGGCTGCGCTGCACTGAGGCAGTGGAAATCTGCTCTGAAGTCAAGAGCCACATTCAAAGCAGGTGCTGTGTAGGGGAGCTATAGCTAACTGCATGAAACTGGACTTGTTGAGCCAAATCTGAAAGAAGACTATTAAGATGATTATGAGTAATGATCCTTTGGAAGGAAAACAAGTAAAAAACATTACATTACATTACATGTTACTTGTTAGACGCTTTTATCCAAAGCGACTTGTTTGAACCTGGGCTCCCCTGATCCGAACACCAACGCACTCCACTGCGCCACACGCCTCCCTATATGGGCGTGTGGCTCAAAATCATGTTTTAATTTTTAGATGGATCATGTTGGTCAGCGTATTTTGATGAGTCATCCTTTACCTCCTTTAATGTTCTTTTGTCTTGCAACAATACCATGTTTTCATACTTAAAATGTCAAAATTAGATGAGCATAAACTTTTCAAAACTTTAACAAAAACGATATTTCCGGTTTGTCAATCAGGATAATTTGTTATGGAAAATTAATTGGAAGGTTAAAAAAACAACAGGACGAATCTGAATGGGTATGATAATAGTAGAGATATATTTTAAAAGATAAAACCATGCAATATTTACTAAAATGAAGGGATTGTGATGTTATGAAAATGGGGTTATATGAGGTACTTGATAAGTGCTATATGCAATTTAGAGCCAGCCAGATGTAAGTACAGCACAGAATCAAATCAAATCAAATCAAATCAGATTTTATTTATATAGCACATTTAAAAGCGATTTTTGGTCGAGCCAAAGTGCTGTACATGTAATAAAAAACACATTACTACAAATCACAATAAACGACAATAAATTACAACAGATATATCTTAAAAACAAAATAAAAATAAAACACACGGAAAAGTCAGGAGTCGTACTCCGCTCTAACTAGAAAGCCAGAGAGAAGAAGTGTGTTTTTAGTTTAGATTTAAAAACCCCTAGGGTCTGGGCCGACCTCACATGGAGGGGCAGAGTGTTCCAGAGCCTAGGGCCAGCTGCTGCGAAGGCTCGGTGCCCTCTGGTTTTTAGCCTGGTCTTGGGCACTACCAGCAGCAGCTGGTCAGCAGACCTTAAAGCTCTGGCTGGGGTGTAGCGCTGGAGCAGTTCAGTTATATAGGCAGGAACCAGCCCATTTAGTGCTTTAAAAACAAATAAAAGGATTTTAAAATCAATTCTGAACCGAACTGGAAGCCAGTGTAGTGAGGCCAGAATAGGGGTGATGTGGTCACGCTTTTTGTGGCCAGTCAGCAAACGTGCAGCAGCGTTTTGGACTAGCTGTAAGCGTTTGATTGAGGCCTGGTCCATACCCACATACAGAGCGTTACAATAGTCCAGTCTCGAGGTTACAAAGGCATTAATAACCCTTTCTAAGTCATTAAAAGATAAATACGACTTGGTTTTGGCCAATAGTCTTATTTTAAAAAAGCAGGATTTTACTACGGTGCTGACCTGCTTGTCGAATTTAAAAGTGCTGGTGAAGGTCACTCCAAGGTTCATGACCGAGGGGAGGATGGTTTTTTTGATAGAGCCCAGAATATCAACCAGAGAGGCTGGAGGTTGCGGTCCAAAAAAGATGACCTCGGTCTTGCTCTCGTTGAGGTTGAGGAAGTTTTTGCTCAGCCAGGATTTTATCTCTGCTAAGCAGTCCATCAACAGAAAGCCAAACAACATACTGCTGGGGATGGGGGAAGCAGCAAAACATATTTTAGAAACATAAAAACAAATCTGAATCTGTGTAACCTCACACTATATTAAGAATATTTTCACTGCCTTATCTTAAGTCAGCCCTTTAGGTGGAGAACTGAGGCTGTTATCTATGCAAGCTTCAAACCCAAAATAATGAGGGTAATAAGGGTCATTCCTGGCAGGACACTGAAGGGGCTGGCTTTAGGAGGCAACAACATACATATTATGGCAAACAGTGATCAGAAAACGGCATCATGTGCTAAAGTATCCCTGTTTCTATCAAAGTACTCTGGATTTAGTTTTAAGCTTCCTTAACAAGAACCAGGTTGCTCAAATCCAGGCCTCTGAAACCAGGATATGATGTGTACATGTACGTGGGCATAACCAAGACACAAACCCCGATCCTACCAGAGATACAGGTGTATGTGAACTGCATTCAGCTGAGCTGTTTGGAAGTCTAAGGGAAAACTAGCCCTGGTGAAACTCCACGGGACATTCATTCTCTTTCATTACTGATGTCCACAAGCTCTTCAGTCTTACTGCTTTGAAAACTGGACCACTGTTACTCTTCAATTCAATTAGCTTGTGTAGACTTACATTCAGCCACAGTGTGCCCTTATTCTACAGTGTGAGACTTGTTAAAACCCTCCTGTCTCTGCTAACATTAAACATGCCATTAATCACTGCTTCAAAGACATGCCGCTCTTACCCTCCAACATTCCACTCTCTCTCTCCCTTTATCTCCTATATTCCTTTTATTTCTATTGCCTCTCCTTGTCTTTATTGTTTCTCTCTTCTTCCCCTCCCTCTGGGGTTAATCAGCACAGTTTTAGGTCACAGTGCTGTTTCAAATCCTTTCAAAGCTTGTGGTGGTTTAAGCTGGAATGTGATTAACCTTGTACAATAAAAGCAGCTGCATGGTACATGAAGTCCGCCTGTCTGCAGCGCCTGACAGACTGGAGCACACAGAGCACCTTTACACATTTCAGTGCTGTGGTTTTGGTTTACAAATGCATCAGTCGTTTACGGATGGGGTTTTATTGAGTATGAAACTCCTGAGACTATAAGCACCACCCTGTATTATGCATGCAGCACACATGCATATTGATGTGCATGTAGCCTGAGGCTGATTTGAAATGGCATCTGCAAAGCCTCTACAGGTGTTAGTAAGCAGACTGGTTCCTGAACAATTCTTTATTTACTGCTTCCTTTAATGACATGATATTACATTCATTTATAGTAGCTGACACTGTAACCCAAATCAAGTGAGCAACAAACAAAGAGTGCATACAAACATATGGGAAATATGAATCAAATCAAATCAAGTTTTATTTATATAGCACATTTTTAAAACGATTTTTGGTCGAGCCAAAGTGCTGTACATACAATAAAAACACTTTACAATAAAAACACTTTACAACAAATACAACAGCACAAATAAAAAATCACACACAGGGAAAAGGAGTCGTGCTCCGCTCAGACTAGAAGGCCAGAGAGAAGAAGTGAGTTTTAAGTGTAGTTTTAAAAACCCCTAGGGTCTGGGCCGACCTCACATGGAGGGGCAGAGTGTTCCAGAGCCTAGGGCCAGCTGCTGCGAATGCTCGGTGCCCTCGGGTTTTGAGCCTAGTCTTGGGCACTACCAGCAGCAGCTGGTCAGCAGACCTTAAAGCTCTGGCTGGGGTGTAGCGATGGAGGAGTTCGGCTATATAGGCAGGAGCCAGCCCATTTAGTGCTTTAAAAACAAATACAAGGATTTTAAAATCAATTCTGAACCGAATTGGAAGCCAGTGCAGTGAGGCCAGAATTGGGGTGATGTGGTCACGCTTTTTATGGCCAGTGGGAAGACGTGCAGCTGCGTTTTGGACTAGCTGCAGGCGTCTAATTGAGGCCTGGTCCATACCCACATACAGAGCGTTGCAGTAATCCAGTCTCGAGGTAACAAAGGCGTTTATAACCCTTTCTAGGTCTTTAAAAGATAAAAACGACTTGGTTTTGGCCAATAGTCGTATTTAAAAAAAGCAGGTATTGACTACGGTGCTGACCTGCTTATCAAATTTAAAAGCGCTATTGAAGGTCACTCCAAGGTTCATGACAGAGGGGAGGATGTTTTCATTGAGAGAGCCCAGAATTTCAACCGAGGAGGCTGGAGGTTGGGGTCAAAAAAAGATGACCTCAGTCTTGCTCTCGTTGAGGTTAAGGACATTTTTGGCTCAGCCAGGATTTAATCTCTGTTAAGCAGTCCATCAGCTGCTGTAGTGAGTTGACATTTGAATTGAGAGGCAGATAGATCTGTACATCATCGGCGTAACAATGGAAGGGGATGTTGTGTTTTGTGAAAATACAGTATGTACTGTAGAAAAA